TCTGGCCTCTTTGTGTAGCAGCTGAGCCTGTAGGTGCTTGATGGATAGGAGGGGGCAGAGTGCCCATCTTGGACTTCGGGAATGCAGTGGGCTGGAAGACATAATCCAGGGAGCAGGCCTGGGTGCTGGTCGGCAGCCTTACCCACATCCTCGAGCTTGTTTGCAGCAAGGTGTGTCTTCAGAAAGTGTCAGTTATTCAAACCCCAAAGATCGGAAGGGACCCATGTTTAGCGTTGGCGGTAAGGCAGGGAGCTTGCATGCAGAACACCCACCATCATGCCCTGTGGCCCCGTCATCTTCCACCAGGGTGGGAGCGTGTGTGTGCGTGCAAACTGCACATGTGTGGAAGACGTGGAGTTAGGATCTTGTATACATCTTGTGTCCTGCTATTTTTATTTAACACCCTTGGCATTTCTCATCTTTTCAAACATGATTTTGATGACTCTGTGCGATTTTGACATATGGGTTTATAGGATCTACGTAAGCCCAGATTGTTTCCAGTGTTGGCGGTGTTCATGCTGATGTGAGTGGCGTGGCCCATAAATCTTTCTGTGCCTCTGCTTGTTCCTTGGAATCTATTCTCAGCAGTGGGCCAGGGCCTGGGATCTGGCTTCAGGCTTTTGGTGCAAGCTGAGGATAATGGAGGGCAAGATGGCCCCAGGAAGGCTCTTGGAGTAGGCTAGGTTGAGCCTGGCTTTGAAGAGACATGCATCCGCAGAGGAGGGTGAGTTGGGCAAAGGTGTCACTCTTGCAGTGGGGTGGGGACGCTTCCAGGATGACCTGGTCCTGCGCTGCAGGTCTCTTGCTTGCCCTTTAGATATGCTTACTCCTTAGGACAGGAATTCTGTGATGAAGGCTCATTGGTCCCATGGGAGGCCGCCGTTCTGCCCAGCCGGTCCCTGGGAACTGGTGTGTGACCTCACCACAGTCTCAGATCTGCACGGGACAAGCTCATGAATGAGCACTCTTGCTGGCCTCTGACCACACACAGATGCCCCTTGGCTGCCTTTCCTTCTTCAGGGAAGGGGGAGGTGACTCAGATGAAAATACTGGCCCTGCGGCAGGTCATCCCCTGACAGGACGCTGGAGGGGTGTCTCCACTGAAGTTTCATGTGGAGAAGAGGGAGGTATTTATACGCAGAGGTGCAGGACATGGGAGTATTTGCTTTGGGCATTGGGGGAGTCAGTCCCAGAGGACCCTGTGCTGCCAGCCTCACGACAAGCTGTCTCCTGATTTTTCCCAGCTGGGTGCTCCGCACAAAGCCCTCTGTGGGACAATTGCACACAGGGCGTCGTCTCCTTAGACAGCGATCTTGTCTCCTTGCCAAGTGTTCCAGTGTCAATCCAGTTGGGTACTGTCGTCCCCTGTTGACTTCTCTCATCATCTGAGTATTTAGAGGAGGCTGTCCTTCTTGGGGCTCCTTCCAAGGCTGCTCCTTGCAGCCTCTCGGGAGCCCTGGGCCACCCCTTTGGGCCCAGGTTAGAGGTCTGCTGCATGTGGTTGGGGCGGGAGTGGGGAGGAGTGGAGAGTCGAGGAGGACACAGAGCAAGGGCTCCCCGTGGCTGCACCACGCAGAGCTTCATCTTCCCAGAGGCCTCTCCGTGTCAGTGTCCTGTGGCTTCTGTGACAAGTCATAGGAATCTGGTGGCTCCACCACACACCCTGACTCTCAGAGTTCTGAAGACCAGAGGGATGGATGTAAGATGTTGGCTGGCCCTTGCTGTCTTCAGGCAGTCCGGAGGAGGCACATCCTACCTGCCTCCAGCCTCCTTGCTGGGGCTGTGTCCTTACTTTACCTCCAGCTTTGCATGGTCTCTCTTCTGAGTCTTCCGAATGCCCCTCTGCCTTTCTCTTGTAAGGATTCTTGCTTTCTTTTTCTTGGTGGTGGTGCTGGGATCAAACCCAGGGCCAGGCATGTGCTCTATGACTGAGTTTTTTTTTTTTTTAATTAATTAATTTATTTATTTATTTGTGTGTGTGTGTGTGTGTGTGGCCAGCTCAGCCCACCAGGGTGTGGGGCTGACTGTCATGTGGTGCTGGGGGATTGAACCGTGGTCCCTATGCTTTGCCAAGCCTGCTCCAGACCACTGAGCCATCTCACCAGCCCCTATGACTGAGTTTTAATGCGGCTTCTTGGACCCACACCACGACAAAGCTCCAAACGTGGACTTTGCGCTTGCTGCCATTGTGAGCCCACAAATGACCTCTCCTAGAGCCCTTGTATAGCCCTTCCCAGTCCTTGCGGCCCAGGAAGTTTATATTTGTAATGCTGTATAAAAGTCACTGGAATTCTAGTAAGTTAATTCCAGTCTACCACTTCCAGTGCAAACCATGATGAGAATAAAGACACGAAAGCATATTTATAGTTATGGGAGCTGAGGGGCCCTAAGTGCGGCCACAATGATGACTATTTAGAACAAAGGCCTCAACCTAGGGCTGAACGTGGGTTTTATTAATTCATTAAGAAAGGAGTGGCTCGAGTTTCAGAATGGCAGGAAGTAGGTGAGTGCTGAGCGCTGGGCTAGGTAGGAGGCCTGTATTTACCTCTGCAGTATGCAGAAGTGAGATGCAGGAAGAGTAATCTGCACAACACAAATGAGATAGTATCTCATGTTTTGGGGTTGGTGCTTCAGCTCCGAAGTGTCATTTTTCAAGCCCCAGGAAGTCACAGCCTCTCTCTCCAGGAGGCTCAACCCCAGAGGAGGATCCATCCCAGCTGACAGGACAGCATGGAGCACTGGCTCTTCATCCTGTCTCCTGGGGTGGGGTGGGGATGGGCTGTGGGGGATGAGGGGTGGGGTGGTTTTGATTGGGGGGGTGTCCAGAGAAACATGCTTGCCATCTTCAAAGACTACCATCAGCACCTCTGGACCAATATGCATTGTATAAAGCCAATTGAAGGGATAAGGAACAGCCCTAGCCAGCTCTGTACGTACCAATACCTGGAGATAGGGTCAGGCACAGCCAAAGTGGGGACAGCTGTTCCTCCTTCAGGAGAGTAGCCGAGGTGGTCCTTCACACCCTGGGACTTCTTAGAACCAGCACAGGCAGTTTGCATCCAGGACACATCAAGGTCACCAGTGTAGCATGGCTAGACCTTCACCATGTTGAGCTCTGGAGTGCCAGCGTCAGACCCTCTGACTCAAGACCTGCCTGCAGCATGGCTGGCTGGGCCTTGGGCAAATGGAGTCCACAGATGTGACTTGGGTAGGCTGCACACTATACGATGTTTTAAAATAGGGCTTGTTAGGGCTGGGGAGATAGCTCAGCAGCGTAAGTGCCTGCGTGGCAAGTGTAAGGTCCTAAGTTCGATCCCTGGTATAGCAAAATAACTAAACAAACAAACAGGGCTTGTCATGGGACAGTGTGGCACATGCTTGTATTCCTAGCACTTGGGAGACTGAGGCAGGAGGATTGCTATGAGTTCAAGGCTAGCCTGAACTACGATGCAAGACTGTCTCAAAAAGGAGAGGGTTTTGTTTGTTTGTTCAGTGCATTTAAAAGTTGAGAAGTGCAGTATCATATGGAAATCCATATTCCTTGACTTTGGGGAGAGGCTGGAGGTCAAGTTCCACAGGTCATGCTGACGGAGCATCATGCACCCTGAGAGCAGGTGCCTGGTGACTTGTCTGTTTCCTGGAATCCACTGACCCCTACCTGGCCACACCTGCCACTCTGCTGACACTGTCTCTGCCTGGCTCCCAGGATAGTGGAGCTGAACCACCCACAGTATGTCCCCCCAAGAAGGAGGGGTACCCAGGGCCATGTCTGGGAAGCCAGTAGTACCCCAGGACAGGTGTCAAGGACATGGATGTCCTCTGCCTAGCCTCTCCTCTGGCCTTCTGCCTACCAGCCACTCACTAGCCTCTGGTCCTCTCAAGGAAGTACTGGACATAGCTGAACAGAGTGGAGATGAGAGCTGTGTTTGCGTTTGGAGGAAACAAGGCTGAAGGGAAGAGCTGCCAGAAATGGCCCAGTAGAGCTGTTGCTGGGGTCGCCTGTCCCTGTGGGCAGGGGAGGAAACAGTGGACGCCCAGGTAGCCCTAGGCTCTGGTGTGGGGCAAGCCTTGGGCTGCCCTGGGAAGGAGCTGGAATGTTCCTGCCGTGTGGTTCTGGTCTGCACGATGACCCGGCAGGTGGTTCTCATTCTCAGTTGTAGGGATATGAGGATGGCGGCTTCCTCAGCATGGTCCTGCTGTTCTGAGGGTACAGACCTGCGTGGAGATGGAGGGTAACCCAGCAGGAACAATGGGCCATGGGGTGAGGGTTAGGCATTAAGCATCCTGCGTGACCTGGGTGAGGATGTGTGGCAGGGGGGCGGACTGAACTCAGCTAATGTGAATGAGCTGGGGACCAGGACAAAGCAAGGGCCAGACCAGCACCCTGCCAGGCACCTTGCTCAGGCACTCCCTGCCTTGGTCTTCCCATTTATACCAAGGGAGTAATATTGTTTGTGTCGCAGGTAGTGGGAGGCGTAAATGTGATCTACCTTGGTAACCCCACACGCTGCCAGTAGCGGTCCCAGGGCCAGCGCTTGGTGTGCTGCTGGTGCTTGTCCTTCTTCGGGGATCCTCAGTGGTTCAGATTACAGTTGTTATTGTCTCGCTGTGTCCTGCCCTGCGACTGGCAATGGTGGTGCTGTTTGCCGATGGTATCTGTGTGCCGTGGGGGAAGGCAGGGGTTAGAAAGAAAATCCCAAGGGGAAATGCATGGCTGTTGGCAAGCCAGAATGCTCTTCTGTGGAACTGTCCAGAGGTAAGCTGCACAGTGTGTGTCATGGCCACGGTGGGAGAGGGCGAGACCAGCATCCCCATCTAGTCTCTCATCCAGATCTCCCGACCATCAGCCCCTGCAGGTCCTCCCCACTGGGCCTATCTGTTTCTCTGGAGTCCAGGCTGCTCCTGTGGTGTCCCGGTCACCCGCCTCCTTCTCTTCAGCACAAACCACGCACACACTGCGTCCTCCACTGACTACTCATTGTATCGTCTGTGTCTTTCAGCCTTGAAGAGATCTTTTGAGGTTGAGGAGGTCGAGCCGCCCAACTCCACCCCAACCCGGAGGGTCCAGACTCCACTGCTCCGAACCACTGTGGCCAGCTCCACCCAGAAATTCCAGGAGCTGGGTGTGAAGAACTCAGAGCCCACAGCCCGCCATGTAGACTCGATAAGCCAGCGCTCTCCCAAGCCCTCCCTGCGGAGGGTCGAGCTTTCAGGGCCCAAGGCGGCTGAGCCTGTGTCGCGGCGCACGGAGCTCTCCATTGACATCTCCTCTAAGCAGGTGGAGACCTCAGGCGCCACTGGGCCTGCACGATTTGGGCTCAAGAGGGCTGAGGGGTTGGGCCACAAGACACCGGAGCCAACCCCTCGGAGGACGGAGATCACCATTGTCAAGCCTCAGGAGCCAGCCCACCGCAGGATGGAGCCCCCCACCTCCAAGGTTCCCGAGGTGCCCATTGCCCCTACCACTGATGCAGTCCCGAAGAGGGTTGAGATCCAGGTGCCCAAGCCAGCTGAGGCACCTGCCTGTCCCCTCCCGTCCCAGACCCTGGAAAATTCTGAGCCTGCCCCAATGTCCCAGCTGCACAGCAGGCTGGAAGCCAAGCCAACTGTGGCTGAAACCCTGCCCAGGAGCCAGGAGGGTGAGTGACAGAGCACAGGGCCCTCTAGGCTGCAGGGCTGGGGGGTGGGGCTTTGCTGTGGGGTCCTGAAAGGAGCTGAATGCTGGTGGGGGAGAAAGGTCTGACTTCATAGAGTGATCTCCTAGGACTCGGGGAAGGTGGTAGGCTTCTTGTCTCCAGGGGCCACACTGAAAGGCAGCCACTGGGACATCAGTAGAGCCTCCTTTGTTAGGCAGCTTGGGCCATGGTGGGGCCCCTGTAGCGTGGCCCTGGGACAGTGAGGGCCGAGTGTGGTACTTCAAACAGGCACTGTTGTGGGGTCTTCTGGGGACATAGGACGTGATGGGCTTGAGCCCTGCAGATGGGTCTGTATTCAGCGGAAGGTCTGTATTCAGCGGAAGGCCTTATGCTCAGAGGAGTGGCATGCAGCCCGGAGGAGAGTTGTGTCCCTCCTCAGCATAGAGTGCCTCCCCAGGGCAGAGTGCATCCCCAGTGGGGAGTGCACTAGGATTTTATGGCTAAGGGCCCCCAGGAGGGGTCCCTGGGCCAGGGAATGGCGATACCTACCACTTTGTTTGGGGGGAGGCAGGCAGGGGACTGAGCGTTGCTCTTGTAGTGCTCAAATGCAGAGCTGTGTAGTGTGGAGAGCTTCTGAGGTGGTTCCATGCCATGGGGATACAGGACCTCCTTGGGACCACCAGGACTATGATACGGTAGCTCTTCTTCTTCT